GGAAGGGGACGAATACCTGTTCTACTTTAATTCCTACATACACACTCACTTCTTCCTTTGTTTTCAACTAACAGCTCTATATTACGCATTGCTTTCTGTTTCACTTAATTAAAACTGTTCTGCCTGCGTGTGTGTGTGTGCATAACTGTTCTCCCTTTGAAGCTTTCTCATCTACGTCTAATCTATTTTAATAAACTTGGAGCCTTACCGTACCAAGACTCCTTTGGGTCCACCGGTCCAGAGGAACGATAAGTAACTATGAGCTCCCTTAGCTACAGCCATAAATCTAATGAAATTCAGTAATTTAGTGGACAAGACTTATGATGTTGCATTAGTGTTTCAGTGACTCACACAGCAAATATTTGACCAGTGGTTCAGTGAACACATAGAGTGATATTCATAACTATATAAACATAGCAGTGACATATAAGTATGTAAACTTATGTGTGCTATAAAATAAAAATCACCCTAACAGTACTACTAGTTAACTAAAACAAATGCAGTTTAAAGGGGGTAGACACATTGGCAGATCAACCTGTTCCTCTGACCACAGCCTGGTCAAAGGATGGTACACAGTTTCTCAGGTGTATCCTAATACAATACTCTCATGTCCATATGTACACAGTGAAAGAGTTCTTGGTTGCTATAATTGTCCTCCTTGTCCATAATGACTGTAAAGAAGTCCCCTTGTGAAGACACTTGAATGCAAGTGATGGAATACAAAACCCATAGTCCTAAAAAGCTGTTTTGATGTAAGCCTACATATGGGCTGCTGAGTATTGCTTTAAGATAGACTTGACAAAATGTGTCCACTATTGAGTTGTGGGCCCGGGTTTACCCTTCACTTCTTACTTTGTTTGCACTGTGCACAGAATCCTCATTTCTCTTCATACCTATTGAATACAGTGTACACAGTAGACGACATGTGGCACATATTTTTCACAGAGCCCCACAAAGTCACCAGTACTCCTGTGACCATTCTGGTTGTTACTGCTGACTAGTGGCTCGTCAGCCCATGTCGGCACTGTTTATTAAAGGATACAAACAAATAAATGAATCCGCTAAAACCAATGTAAGCATGACGTAAACTGAAATAGTAGTAGATGTTGATTATTGTATGAAAAGATGAAGTAAGAATGCAGGAGTCACCTGGAGGTCTGAGGTCCTAGGGCAGTTGTTTGCTTTACAATTTAGGTGGAGTGTAATTGTGTATTAATACTGTAGGTATATGACAATTTGATCATTCCATAGAGATAAGAATGAAAAGAGACTAAAACTGACTGTGACCTAAATGCTCTGGTTTCATTGAACTAGGAATAGTCTTTGCTCCTTACGGGCCGATATGGAGAAAGCAGCGGAGGTTCTGCCACACCACACTACGAAAGTTTGGCCTGGGGAAGTTGAGTTTGGAGCCTTGCATCCTGCAAGGCCTGGCCACGGTCAAAACAGAGCTGCTACAGCTGGACGAGGAGTCTGGTGGTGCTGGTGTGGACCCGGCTCCGCTGATCAGCAATGCCGTTTCAAATGTCATCTGCTCGTTGATCCTGGGTCAGCGCTTCCATCATGAAGACCGTGAGTTCTCTATGTTGCTCAGCCTGATGGCACGTGGCCTGGAGATCTCTCTGAACAGCCCTGCGGTCCTCATTAACATCTTTCCACTGCTGTACCACTTGCCTTTTGGGGCCTTCAAGGAGTTGAGGCAGGTGGAAAGAGACATCACAGTGTTCCTGAAGAAGATTATTGCAAAGCACCAGGAAACACTGGATCCAGAAAACCCAAGGGATCTTGCAGACATGTACTTGATAGAGATGTTGGCCCAGCAAGCTGCTGGAGAGGAGGACAGCAGCTTCACAGAAGATTATCTTTTTTATATAATAGGAGATCTCTTCATTGCCGGCACTGACACCACCACTAATTCAGTTTTGTGGATTTTGCTCTACTTGGTTTTATATCCTGATATCCAAGGTAAACATAGCAACAGATCATTCATTAAATCATTTGTTACAGTAAATGCAACTGTAAATTATAGCACTTTGTGTGTGCTTGGGCAAAAACTGATATCAAAGACAGAATGGAGTGGAGCTTGGCACCGTCATCTGAAATATCTCCAGTCAGAATCTGGCCAATTTGATAAAGTTATTAGGTTTTTTGCAAAAGATAAATTTCTGTGATATAATTACAATTATACAACATTATAGAGAGCTATAGAATTTTTGGTTGCGATACTGAGATTTCTGAAAAGTAGTAGGTTGTAGAACCAAATGTGAAATGTTTTAGGCTTATATGAAAACACAGCCCTTATTTTCTATATAGACGGAAAACTCCTTTGGAGAAAAAGGAATTGGAAATCTGCGGAAACCCACAGCTGAAACACTTCCTCATTGTAGTTCATCAAAATGGCTTGTTCATGCATTGATCCACTTCTGCAGCAGTTTCACAACCACGTTGATTATCACATCAAAAGATACATTTTACTTCTGCATTTCAGTACTTTGAAAGTTCTTTGACTGGCTTAGCCACAGTTACTTTTTGCTGATTTGTTGAAACGTCAGTAACAACGTGCTTAATGTTGCTTTGCTCATGCCGTTTGAATTTCAGACACGGTCCAGGCAGAGATTGATAAAGTGGTGGGTGGACATCGGGTCCCATCTCTGACTGATAGGGGAAGTTTGCCTTTTACTGAAGCCACCATCATGGAGGTGCAGAGACTGGCTGCAGTGGTTCCTCTGGGTGTTCCTCACATGGCCTCAGAGACAACGGGTGAACTTAAACACCTTGTTTTTCATTAAATCGTTTGTTAATGATCAACCATCCATATCTCTTGAATCTCAGACAATAGTGGTCATGTCACTATTAAAAATAAATCCACAGATCTGTATTTCCTTACATGGTTGAGTTCTCATAAGTTCACCAACATTTAAAGCTGCATTAACTAACTTCTCCCTCTAATATTTGACCATGAGAGTCAAAACAAACTCAAGCAGCAGCCCCCTCTCTTCTCCCTCCGCTCCTCTTTGCCACTCCTGCCCTGTCCCTGAAACTAGGTCACATGTGGTCATGTCAGCTGGAATCAGTTGTGGCAGTGAAGTAGCACAGCAGTAATAACCAGCTCCAGAACTAGTGTATCCGAAATATAGAGCCCGTGGATTTCGGTGGCATTGCAGCGACACAATGTCAAATAAAGAGGTTTACATTTTAGCGCTATGCATATGCACGTCTAACGTTGTTTGTAGCAGATGTATCTACACTAACACAAGCAAATTACAGTGCCTTGCGAAAGTATTCGGCCCCCTTGAACTTTGCGACCTTTTGCCACATTTCAGGCTTCAAACATAAAGATATAAAACTGTAATTTTTTGTGAAGAATCAACAACAAGTGGGGCACAATCATGAAGTGGAACGAAATTTATTGGATATTTCAAACTTTTTTAACAAATAAAAAACTGAAAAATTGAGATTAGCAACCTGAGCTAAATTACTTCATTTGCTAATCCAGGAAAATGCACAGTTGGAATGACTGCAAATTGCAGCCAGAATAATTCAGATTTGTGCTAAACCTTTTGTTTAATGCAGCTTTAATTTGTGATGGGATTATTATGTGTTGTTTTTTGTTTCAGAGTTCAGAGGCTACACTATTCCCAAAGGAACAGTTGTTTTCCCCAACCTCTGGTCTGTCCACAGAGATCCCACTGTGTGGGACAATCCAGACAGTTTCAACCCAGCACGGTTCTTGGATGATGAGGGAAAGTTGCTGAAGAAGGAGTGCTTTATACCATTTGGGATTGGTATGGCATTCTTTACTCATATCAGCTCAACAACTGAAACACTAATATAGAAATCGATTTAATTGTGTGTGTACAGGGCTTTAATGATTTATTTCACCCTGTAACCCTCAGGTCGCAGGGTGTGCATGGGTGAACAGCTGGCAAAGATGGAGCTATTCCTGACAGTTACCAACTTACTGCAGGCCTTCAAATTCAGACTTCCAGAGGGGATGCCTCCTCCTCCCATGCTAGGACGATTTGGCCTGACACTGGCACCCTACCCATATACTGTGTGTGTGAGCACACGTAGTTCAAACAGCTGAAGACCCGGTTCATCCGAATTCTTTGTAAGCAGAGCAATCTGATGCCAGGGACCCTGAAAAAAGGCCAGAGATGTCAGGTAAGTTCTCCTGAAGAGAACAAAATGTAATCTGGGACGTAAAAAGTGTTTTAATTGAATTATAGTTCTTTTGCTCATGTAATTATGTTTGCATATTATATTTTATCAACTGTTAATTTTTTTGATTATTCAAGAAATAATGTAGTCCACAACATTTTAAAAGTAATGACAACTACCAATCAGAAATGACCACAAATCAAAGTGATGCCCTATACTTAAGGTTGCTAGCCCTCATGGTTTGGCCGGGAGAATCCCGGAACTGATTAAGGCCTCCTGGAGAAATCAAAATTAAATCCAGGAGAGTTTTGGTGTTTTGAAGGCCTAGGCCTACAGATTGAACACATGGAAGTAAAATGCCAGGGAAAATACAAATTCTCAAATGGAAGGCAACTCTGGGGCACCGACAGAAAAACTGAAAATACACAATTTAATTTTAATTTAATGAATTTAGGCTACTTATATTGAAAAATACTACCTTATATTAGGGATTTTGCATTGTCAGCCTTCTGCCTTGCTTTGTGGTGCACTATGAATACTGTCATCCAAGTAGTTTTTCATTTTCATATTGTGATGATATCAAAGGTTGGAGTTGCCTGATTTTGTGGCTGCACCTCTGTCTATCTGTGCCTGTTGGACTCAGTAAAGGGAGATTTTTATATATAATATATTTCTTTACAGACCTGATCTATGCATTATTAGCAATCTGTCAATAAAAACAAAAATGTATTTACTTTATTTGGAATGCATGTCTTTGAATACCTTTTCAAATTTGGCACAAATGACCACTTGCAATCAACAATGAGCTGATTAGATCTTGGTGGTCGAGTCCATCCCATTCCCACAAGCGCTATATCTCATATACATTAAAACTAAAGTGATAGGATACATTTATCTTTTAAATATTAGTGCTACAAACTAAAAAAAGATGTTTTGATATATGTTCACAATTTTTTATTTAACCAAATATCCTGTATTACAAATACACATCTGAAATTTGTAACAAATTAACAACCACAAAGGTGGTAGTCAAAAGCCCTGCCCTGCCAAACCAAAGTTATTTATTTATGAGGGTTGTAGACATGTCCTGTACAAGCAGTTTTGCTGTCACATTGGTGGTAATGTCCAGTATTTCCTGAGTTGTGTGATGCAACATTTTAATCAGTGGAATGACCATTGACCCCGACACTCTCTTCTGCTGGCACATTTCCACTGTTGCAATGTAAAATGGGTTGAGCACTTGTAAACAAACTGCTGTTGATTCATAATCCTCAGAAGAGAGAGGATTAACTTCTGTTCTGAGTGATGCTGGAGCTGCTCCAACTGTCTGCTTCGCATCATATAAGCACTGCAGCATCAAGGTGTTGTTCCAGCTCGTCCACCTTCTGGATCAGCTTCATCACTGCACGATTCATTTACTGTTCCACATTTCTTAGCTACTCTTTAGCAGTAGTGCTTGATCTAAAATAGGTCACCACTTTCCATGCCCTTGTGCGCATATCTTCTAGGCCAGATGTTTGATCTAGGGATTTTTTAACCGCTAATTATAGTGCATGTGCAATGCACACAACATGCCTTATGGCTAAATGTTGGGCAGTGGCTGTCATGTTTGTTGCAGCATCAGTCACAAGGCATTTAACTATTTCCTCAATGCTCCACTCCACCATGAGAGACGTCTTAGCAACCCTGCACAATGTGGCCTGACATTGGCACCCTACCCATATTCTGTGTATGTGATGGCACACATAATTCAAAAAGCGGAAGACCTGGTTCTTCCAGATTCTCTGTACACAGAGCAATCTGATGCCTTTTGCTCATGTAATTATGTTTGCATATTATATTTTATCTGTAGTGGTTAAAAGCAAACAAGTTACCAGTAATAAGTAATAGAATATAGTAGGAGTGTGTAGATTACATATAGATATTATCTGCAGTATGTAATATCTGATAATCATGTATGGATGAGCTAAGTGTTTATATAATTTTGGAGAGATCTGTTTCTCTGCTTTGGAATGTTTGAGGGTGTTTGTCCATGGAGAACATGGGAACTATGTACTGATAGCTTGCTCAAGCAAGAATATCCTGGCTCATGTCCTCTGTCTAATTTATGGGTAAACATCCTGAGAGCAGCCTCCCTTAAATGGGAAACTTAAAATTGGGCATAACTTCAGCCTTGTGTGAACTGTTCGTGTGCTCACTTTTAAGTTCATGTTTAGAAAAGGAAATGTGCGCTGGGTCAGTGGGACCTAGAAGTTCATGTACTGGACATCTCAGACAATTCCTGTAAGATTCCATGAGTCCATCCCATTCCCGTGAGCGCCATATCTCATATACATTTAAACAAAAATTATAGATAAATTTATCTTTTAAATATTAGTAGTACAGATTAAAAAAATGTTTTGATATATGTCCACAATTTTTATTTAATCAAATATATTTTATTATAAATACACGTCTGAAATTTGTAACAAATTAACAACCACAAAAGTGGTAGTCAAAAACCCTGCCAAACCAAAGTCAGTGGTGTTAACCACTAAGCTATCCAAATACTGGACAGACACACATTTAGAACTTTTACTGGTTTATGCAATTGGTTAACACAGCTTAGCAAGGGGAAAGGGGTGAGGCACACATTTTAATTGCTTAAAACAGAAACATTGAAATGAACATGGTACCACACAAACAGTCACACAGTAACACACACACATTCCTGTATGAGCAGCGAGGTGAGGTCCAGGTAAATGTACATTGGGAGTGAGGACCACCATTTCTGCTATACTTACAGACAAATGCATGCTACATTTCAACACTAGAGGGCTCACTGACTCCCATTTTCACCTCAGCTTATGGAAAAATCACAGAGAAAAAGTAAGCATTCAACCACTGGAGTGAGGACCTTTTGATGGGGGCGCTATTGTGCTTGCTTCTTAGTAGATGATTTTAATTATCTTTGTTTTTTAGTTTTGTTCCCCTTTAGCTTTCAGTCATTCTTGGCTACCATTTCAGGTTTTAGCATAAAGTATTCAAATATCATACAACTCTTTAAATAGTATTTTAAATTAAGACATCTATATAATATATCTTTGAAAAGAATTGCACTCTTTGGGGATCATAGATAAGCAAAATGCCTACATGAACATTGTGACTATAGACCAGGCTATTGTATGAAAGTGCAGATTTACAAAACACTTCAGCAAAATACACATTACCAAAAAACATCAAATAAAGCTACAAGACAGGTCAACTACTACACAATGAAAACACAAAATAAAAGAACAGTGTAGCCTACCTGAAAGATCCGGTTCGATGCTCACTTGTCACAAAAGCTAAGTAAAGGAACAGATCTGTAATTTTTACATGCCACAATGCACATACCATCATTCAAAATTTTGCGCCCAGTGGTTATGGGCGTGTCCATTCATAGAGTGGGCGCAGCAAATAGCTATAGCTGCATTTGGAGCTGGGGCCCCCTCACATTTTTGTAGTAAAGATCCACTGGTAAAAAAGCAAATTAGAGGGCTTATCTTGGGAAGTTAATGAGCCTGTAGGGCAGGGAATAAAAGAGTTAAAAGTACCGCCCCTAATTGTTCTCAGTCTCCCTGTACCTGCATCAGCAGCATCATTTTTCGCTTAGGCTACGATTTACAACCAGGACTTTATATCCAAGTTGTAGCTCAAAGGCGTGAATACGTCATTTAATTATAAGTCTTTCGAGCCTAATTTGCAATATGTATCCAGGAATAATAATGTTATGCAATAAATCTTAAGGTTATAAATCTGTGACTTTATCTTGAATAAAGCTATTACTCCCAATGGGTAATGTAGGCCTTTAGCTGGGGCTAATAGGCCATATGATGCAAGTAGGTCATAGCCTGAAAATAACGCTAAGAATAACTTTTAAAAAATCTGATCCATATAATTACCAAAATGTCAAAAATACATTGATGACAAATGTAAATTAGGCTAGTTGTAGTAAGACTCTTTCAATGACTGTTCTGACAATTAGCCTAAATCCAAAAATTTCATTGAAGTTAGTATTATCAAAGACACAAATTGTCATTTAATTGTACATATTTGTAAACTGCAATTGTCTTCTGCCTCGTTTGCTCCCCATAGAGCAATGGATTCAAATAAAATTTAGTTGTGTGCTTCAAAACCTTTTTATGCCTATGCTCTGCGTCGTTGTAGGTTTTATTTTGATGCCTAATAGGAATTGTAGTCATTTGTAGCTACAGAAACGAACTAGAAAAATGCATTTTCTTCAGAAAATGCGTATGGATGCTGACTGCTAAAAGATCGCCCTGAAAATGCTAAAAAATCTTCAAAATAAAGCTACATATTTAAAATATATGATGTTTAGCAAACTGCTGAATAGTAGTATGAATGTCCTTGAGGAGCTGAACATCTTGATAGCTGAAATTACGCTGAAGTAGAAGTTTCCCATTCATTTGAATGGGGCAAGATTTTCAAAATAAAGCTAAATATTTAAAATGTCTGAAATTTAGAAAACTTCTGAATAGTAGTATGAATGTTCTTGAAGAGCTGAACATTTTAATAGCTGAAAGTATGCAGAAGCAAAAATTTCCCCATTCATTTGAATAGGCAAAAGTTTGCTAAAAAACACTAAATAGTGTGAAGTTTAGGAAAATTCTGAATAGATCCACGCATGTCCTGAAAAGATTTTCAAAATAAAGCTAAATATTTAAAATGTCTGAAATTTAGAAAACTTCTGAATAGTAGTATGAATGTTCTTGAAGAGCTGAACATTTTAATAGCTGAAAGTATGCAGAAGTAGAATTTTCCCATTCATTTGAATGGGGCAAGATTTTCAAAATAAAGCTAAATATTTAAAATGT